CACAACGATGAAATCCTAATTAAGGGGCCGCAAAATTAGAAATAAGGTGTTGGCTACATTGTACTATACACCAAACATGGAGGGAGGCTTTATCATAATCAGCATAAAGGAGCTGTTTCAAGGCCTTGGGTACATGATTCTATATATATATATATATATATCTAATCCGAAACCCCAAGGAAGGAAAAGACTTATCAGCTTTTCGGCCCCCCCCTATAGCAACTCCAGGCCAAGGCGATCGAGCGGGGGTAGGCGCCCCCTTTCCCAAAGGCTCCATGTACCCATATAGTATATACTTAGGCCTTAAAGTACCTATATAGGGACCCCTTTAAGGCCAAAGTATCCACTATAAAGGTACATGGAGCCTTTGGGTTTGGGCTTATCCATAGGCTTGGGTTCTCTGCCACAGCCAGGGCCTGATACTGATTTTTTTCGGATATGTCAGCGTCTATGGGTTCAGGGGTTCAGGGTTCACGTTCGGGCTTTGTGGACCTACCCATCGGCTTCATTAGAGGTCCTTTTTGGATTACCTTCTAGGGCCCTAAATATGAACCACAAAAAGGAACTACAACAGAGCCTAAAGGTATCCTGAGTCTTTTACCGATTCTTGCACCAGGAAATCAAGGGATGGAGAAATGAGTGGACAGAACATACAGGGTCTTTGGGGAACGTGGGTGGGTCGGTGGCTGGGTGAGGTGGGTGGGTGGGAAGTCCGCTTACTATCCATCTATACCTCAAGAGACAATCTCTCCCAAAGGGTCCAAAGTACCTTTATACTAGAATGTAGGGTTTCTATGTTAGGAATTACTATTATGATTTGGGGAAGTATCCCGCATAACAGAACCTAGGACCCTTTGGTTATGCTAGTGTGACATGTGACAGGGAACCAGAAAGCCACAAGCCCTTTAACCCAAAAACTTCGCCTGTGAAGCAGCTTCCACAGCGAGGTGAAGGCATCCAACAAGTGATCCCAAGAAGGTGTCGTACTCGAGACCTTTCTTCGCTTGTGCAGCTTGGCTAATGAATCTACTCTTAATTATGAACCCTTCCTAGCTTAGCTAAGGAATCCACCTTCAATCATTCTGGGGATCCTCCTAAAAACCATGGTACACTCCGTAATTAAGAGGCTTTAGAGATGGGAGTTTCCGAAAATTAGGGGTGCCTTATTTTGGGGTCCTTATAATAAGGATGCTACTATTTAGGGTGCTACCTTAGGGTCCTCTATTTTCGGAAGCTCCCATATCCTCAGCACGGAACCTTACCGCCAAGATCCCGGCCCATGCCCTGAACCCCCTGCTGGTAAAAGGAAGCTTGGGGTTTGCGCTGATACATACTTCCCCAATAAGCCCCGAAAACAACATGTTAAACTTTCAGCTTACTACTAAATTATACTCGAAGTTTACAGGTTGGGTTTTGGAGAACTACGGATATTTGCAGCAGCAGCTGGTGCGCAGTTCTTGCTGTACTACGCGGCTTATCGTAACCTTCGTTCATGTTGCCCGGTTAATCTGTATATTCTAGGACAACACGACATGCTGCATGTCCGGTGTTGATGCGGCCAGAAAGTGATGCAGGATTAAAGTAGGAGAAACTTCCGCAGGCAGTCATGAACGTCTGGAAACCTCAACAACGAGACGGGCAACTCAACCCACCCAGTGCTCACAACTAAACATGGGCCCCAAGCGCTGGACACAATGCTACAGCAAGGAACTCAATCACTACATTACTAACGCTAGGAGGACATCTGGCTGCACTGCCAGGTGGCGCAAGGATTCGACCTGCAGCAAGTTCAGATGGCGATGCACCCGACGCGCTAAACCCTAACATAAACACTAAACCCTAATCCCGAAAGTCAGCGTGAATGACCACGCTTTAAACGCAAAAGACAGGTCATTCCAACACACCTGTACTAAGCCCTCATTAGACCGCTGGACCTCACGTTAAGCAAACGGGCCGCTCCGAACGACTGCCCAACCTAGTAACCATTGAAATTCTAATGTTTCTTTTTGAGTTCTGATTCGCATCTAATGCCCCGTTCGCCTACGAATCAGGGCTTTTAGGACTTACCTAGACAACCCTGCGTAGTACCTTTATTTGGTTCATCGACAATAACCAGAAGATTCTGGTTCAGTGAGTTGAGAAAGATAAGAATGAATAAGAATATATTGAGAATAATAAGAATCCATAAGAAAAACTTGGAATGTCATAAGAAGGGTGGTAGGTTACGAAGCGTATTATGAAGTAAAGAAATGCTCCGAACATGTGTGGTTTTGTGGTGTTCTGGCGATGCTGCACAGCCCACCTGCTCAATATGCTTCCAAACATGCCGTCAACAACAGAAACTTTTTTCCACACCAGCGTTGCTTTGCATCCAAGATGTACTTCTGCGCAACACGCAGAGGCATCGACAAAGGATGCACTGATCGGCTAAGAATGCTCAGCCTTCCAACCGAATCCTCTGCCATAGCAGTGCTGAAGAGATACGGGTTGAAGATGTGACGAGCTCCACTTGATAGTTGCACGGCCACATCATACTCAACATGCATCAGATAATGGAATTTCGGTGTTAAATTCCAGAAGATCTCCCTGTGTCGTCGTGCAAGATCGGCTGCTTGAATGTAGTTCCGAAAAAACGCACGCAAAAACTCACAGGCTCTGGTTGCTTGTGCCCGTGTCATGTATGTTCTGTCGGCCGTGTAGCACTCATGCAAGAAGTCGTTCATGCCTCAGCAACCACCATAACAGAAGACGTACTACAGCTGACAGGTAAGTATAGGACTGCAAGAAAAATACCGATACACTTGCTTGCCAGGACACCTCTTGCTGCCGTAAAAGCATGCAGGAGAGTTTGGTTGAAGTTCCATGGACCAGATAAGTAGCATACTAACCATCGTAACATCAAGCGGCAGTCTGAAGCTTTCATAGTAGATTCAGGCATTTTGTTTGTGGATGCCCACTGGAAGTTCTCACGAGTGAAATGCTTGATATGGGGAGTTTCTCCGAGAACCTCACGACAATACTTCTTGAAACACACGTAAGCCTGCTGCAATCTCACTGGCACACCTTGGCCAGAAGAAGAATCCGGTGCATGAAAATGCCCAAGGAAGATCAGGTAGCATAGCAAGGAAGAAACCAGCGTTCTTGCGATACCCAGCGAGCAAATATGAAATATATCCTTTTGCAAGAATTGCTCTTTAGCAGCCCCCGGAATTCGAATCATTGGAGATGGGGTTTCTGCAACCCATGGCCGTGATTTGTAAATTGTTTTGCGCCAACGTGCATCGTCATTGTAGTCCATGGCCGGACATAAACCGTCATCTGCAGAACACCATGGACACAGCAAGTTCGGACTGCACTGCCAATTCCGAAACAAATGAAAAGCTTTTGCTTGGGCTGGTAGATCCCCTTCTAAGCCAACACAAACAAACCGAAAGCAGTGCTCCCCAATGGTGATGCCGTTGTGATATGCAGCTGTCAGCTCCACTGTCAAGTGCTCTGTCAAGCTATCTAAGACAGCATTGCCAACCTCGTAGCCCATGTTGTGATGCTTATACTGCTCTTGCCCCATACAACTCCAGAAGAAGTAGCGAGACCATGAAGCAGCCTCACTCACCAACACAGGGCCCCATGTAATCTGCAGCACAGCAGCTTTTCTCAGGCCTGTGCCTTCGTCCATATGAATTTTGATCGGTATACAACAGCCACGATCAAGAGTATCATCCTTGTATATATCATGATCTGGAGCCACACGTCTAAAGAGCCTCCAAAATCGTCGTAGATGACCTTTGAAGTCATTCACCTTGTTCCACGAACATCCCATCAAAAGCTTCTCTGGGTAGGAATTGAATATTTCAGTTGCCAAGCTTGCAATAGGAATAACGACATGGTTCCCATATGACTCATCCTCCAGCAACACCTGCACAGTTGTAGTTGTCACATTTAAGCCCAGACCCAGCGATGCAATGGCACCCGACAAATCTCGCTCCTTGTTGGATGCATTGCCACTCGGATGTGCTAGCTCTGCAACCGCTGCATAGCCACGAAGGCCGGGGGTCATTGTTCTCAAACAAGCAGCTGCTAGCGATGTTGCTTGCTCAGCGTTACCATCCTTAGCTAATTCAGTCATGGAGCTCATCATAACTTGGATGAATCATATACTTACGTGTTAAGCCTCGGGAACCAAGCATCAATATAGGAGCGGATGATCTTGTCGATGTTGTCTCTGATACCTGCGGCAACGGTATTCACTGAATACGATCGTTTTGTTTAGATTACAACTTGCGAGCATAGCAACATGAGTTCCTTTTGCCGTGCATGCGAAGTTCCTCACCTCGATCGGCATCCTAGTGAAAGCACACGCACACACTTACAGTGTGCGAAGGCCGTAGCCAATTCGAAAAGATCCTTCGGATCGAGAGCAACAACCAAACTCAGTCAGTAGGTTCCTGCGGCCCTGCCGCCTTCTTTGCCCGTGGCTTCGCTGGCGACTTCTTGAAGTGTGTCCTGGCGGTGATTGCGATTTTAGCTGTTTTAGATAAGTCTTGCTTGAAGGTGAACAACAATAACATGCTGAACCCCTGAGCGGTAGACTTCAAAGCGCTGAGCTCGTTCGAGAATACTGTGCACCTGAAATAACAGGCTTACACACAAGAGCTGAGAACTCTATGACATTTGTCACAGAATCGAGCCTGTCACGGATCTTCGCAGTAACATCAGCGTAAAGATTCTTCGTCCTTGGTGCATAGGAGATCTTGTACCATTGTTGCAAACAGACATAATTCCGTAATGCTAGGCTGTAGCTATGTGCGACTAAGTCTCTTGGCTTCCTTTGACAGGTCCAAGTCACAGATCTCCTTGTAGAGTGAGTTCAGCTCAGTCATCGTCTTCTCGCACGCGGCCAAATCGTCCCTGCTATCGAGCTATTGATATATATATATATATATAGAGAGAGAGAGAGAGAGTTATTCAGCATATTGTAAGTATACATATATACCGTGCAATCACATATTGCATGCTAGCTTGCAGGTGAGGAGCCGGTGGGTTGTGCATGCCTCCTTTTCCAGCCTCTCCTTAGCCTCCTTAAGGAGGCCCCGCTTGTTCAGCAGTGTCTTCTTGTACTTTGAAACAAAAGTATCCACAGACTCACTGCCATCCAATGGCGGCAGGCCGGAGCCTTTGGCTTTTTTTGAATTTCCATCTTGTCCCCCGCCTTTTCCATCTTTTCCATTCTGTTCATCCTCCTCATTGTCAGTGAGATCCAGGCAGTCACCCAGCGACAGGTCAAAGTCACCGGTAAAGCAGCCTGCGGCATGAAGCAAACCCACATGCCATGTTTGAGTACTGGGCGTAGTAGTATAGTATTTCAAGCATCTCAAATATCATGCCCAACGACACCTGTCTCTTCCATGAGCTGCTCGAGCTCCTGCAGTCGCTCGGTACCTTGCCTGATGCTTTCATGCAGCGTCTATTTATTATGCCTCCCACATTACTGATGCCTCCTGTGAAGTCCCAGACATGACTGCATACATATTAGTCATCACCAAGTTGCTCTACCGTCTCCGAAATGAGCACCAAAAATTTGCGGTCTCCGGTGTATATGCACTTCTTGTACATCTTTTTTGCAGTGCACAGTGCTACTGCTCCAGCAATCTTGCGCCTTAGCTATGATCAACAAGAGCATCGAAAGAACACAATAATGTATGAACTCAGCACATACCGTATGTTGCGATGGGAAGTCCAAGCATCTCCGACCATCCACGATCCTTAAGCTCTTCCTCCGTCTGCCACTCGTACCCGGATTTCCCAGTTTTCCACGACTTTGACACTTGCTTCAGGCGAAACAGTGCTTCCAGGCGACCCTGCCGAGGCTGCAGATCAAGGACACTCAGAGGGCGCATGTATAGTTCGGACAGTTGCATGTGTGACTTGCTGTGAACAACAATCATGGTTAGTCAGAGCAACATACAGACATGTACAAATGAACATAGCAAACAACCTTGTTGTCATCATAGGAGTTGTCCGGCTGATAGACCTTCTGAACAAACTCCTTCAAGAGCTTGTTCCGAGTGGAGCCACCTGCGAGGGGCACATATAGAATTCGAAATTAACATGGAGTATGTCATTTGCATCAATTCATGCACAACAAACCAAACATGCCTGCAGACCAACGATCCACAATGTCTTTGCTTGTCTTACACTTGCTCTTGTCTCGACCACACAGTCTGTAGAGGAAAGCCCATGCTTCTGGACACGTGGCACTGTTGAACACTGCAATCCTCAAGTTGATTTTCGACACGAGCAGCATCATGCACTCTGAGTGTTGACAAATCAAGTGAAACAGCCAGCATTGCTATTGTCATCGCACAACCAGAATATATTGCACCAAGTCACGTCGACTCACGGCGGCCTTTTGGATCTGCTGGTGCTTCTGGGGGATTGCTGTTGGCTTCTGGTGCGAGATTCCCGGTGGCTGCTGGTGCGGGATTCCTGCTGGCTTCTGGTGCGGGATTCGTGTCTACTCTTGGGGGATTGCTGTTGGCTTCTGGTCCGGGATTCCTTGTGGCTTCCGGCACAAGATTCCTGCTGGCTGCTGCGGGCTTGTCTGTAGAACCTGGAGGGGGGCTTTGAGCCGGCATGGTGGCCTTTGTGGTAGCTCCTGCGAGGCCCTTCGGCGCAGGAGGCATGCCTGATTTGGCAGCCTTCGGGGGTGCCGGGGGTGCAGGGATGGAGGCGGCGATTTCTTGCATCTTCTGCTCAAACTCCTCCTGCGTCAGAGGCGGTGGGGGCACAGGCAACCCAGCAGCCCCAAATACGGTTGTTGCGCATTTGGGCATAGCCTTGGGAGGTGCAGCCCAGTCCTGATCATGGTTAAATTTCCGTTTATGGCCCGAGCTGGTCCACAGATTCCGTTCATCATCTTCCTTGTCCGCATCATAGTCTTGCTCAGCTGCATCCACCTGTATCTGCGAAGCCACACGTAAGAACTGCGAAGCAAGGTTCCGTTTCGGCAAGGCAGACGTAGCAGGGGTGGGACCATCTGTTTTGGCTTGGGGCGTTGTGGTTGCTTGTGCTGCTGCTGCTGCTGCTGCTGCTCTGCTTTGGCACTTCTTCAACAAAGCTTCCAGTTGCTGTGCCTTGCCGGCCCAATCAATATCCTGCTCCTCAGCCTGCCCATGGCCTGCCAGCTGGGTAGTTGTCTTTCTCAGCTCGAACTCTACTTTGGCTGGCGATGCCATTCTCACATCCTCGTCGACCTCCTCCATTCCTCGCTCATATGCTTGATCTGCTACATGTGTGTCCCAGGCAGCGTCACGGAATGGAGTTGCACGAGGGCTTGGTGCAACCGCTGGCATTGCGGTACATGGTGCTGTGTGCAGGGATGGTGCGATTGGCCATGCTGGGGCTGCTCGGGCTGCTTGTGCTGCTTGGTGCTGTTGCCCTTCCATATGCAAATACGCATGTGCAAAGTCGGCTGTCATGGCCGTGCAAGCCAAGTCCTTGTTGAACTCAGGCCTTGATACTGGGCTTTGGCGAACGGTGGGGGTCGTTGCGGCAGGCTTTCGAAGTGCTACGGCTGGCGGTTCTTGGTCAATAAGTGTGTCCTGCCACTGTTGCTGCTGCTGCTGCTGCCAGTACATCTGTTCTTCTGTCTTTTGCTGTAGTTGTAGTTCCTGTACGTACATGGCTTCCTGGAGGGCTGCTCGCTGCTGTGTTCGCACTGCGGCTTCCTGTTGCAACACAGCAAGTTGCTCAGCGGCCTTTCTTTCAGCCTCCATGTAAGCTTCTTCTTGCTGCTGCTTTTGCATAGCAAGCTGCTGCATCTGCACATAGGCAGCTGCTTTCGTCTGCTCGGCCTCATGCTGCAGTTTTCTGGCTTCTTGCTCAGCATGCTGCCTGTGCTGCTTCTGCAGTGTTGCCACTGCCGCAGCTTGCTGAGCAGCCACCTCACGTGCAGCATCCAATGCCTGCTGCTGCTGCTGCTGGGCCCTTTGTTGCTCCTCAGAGTAAACGGTGCCGGCACGAGCCATCAGCTCCCTCTGTTCGTCACTCATGCTCTGCATATGGTGTAGCTTTGCTTCGTCCTTGATCTTGTGCATAGTAGCCCTGGAGACACCGCTCGGGGTGTCACGAAACTCTGCTTTGGTCCCAGGATTTGGGGGATCACCTTGTATCGAAAGCTGCTGTATGTCTGTATGGTGGTGACAAGCATGCTGTAGAAACAACATGAAACTAGCAATCAAGAAGCACACAAACAACAACATGGCTTAAATGTTTGCAATCAAGAATCTCAACATGTCACCCTGCAGCTGCTTGGCCTGCAGGAGCTTCGCCACGAGCTGCCGGGACTGGGGCGTGTCGTTGAGTCCACTCACGAGCTTCTTGGACTCCGGAGAAAGTCCCCTGGTCATCCCCGATAATCCACGATTATCCTCCTCCATCGGCTCCTGCTTCACCCTTGCCTGGGATGTGCATTTTGACAGATAAAGGGAAAACGGTTGGAGAAAAGACAGTCATGTGTAGCCTAGGCACTGGCACAGGTTCCATGGGCTGAGGTTGATGCTCTAAGGCAGTGATCCCTGCCTTCAAAGTCCCGCAGGACCAAGCCCTAGACATGCCCTGTGTGTGCGGGCTCGGGCACAAAATGATCTGCATGTTCCACTCATGTACAATCAGTGCAAGCTTGCTTGCAAGCAACACCGTCAGCAACCTATGCCCAGCAATCAAGCAATCATGTTGATAACCAAGACGACAGCAGAACAAGTGCACTCAGGACGGCGGGAGGGGCGCACCGTCGTCGAGATCCGCCCCGAGTCCTGGCCAAGAAGAAGGGAAGAAACAGTGAGGGAATATATACACATACAAGCATATATGCAAGCATATATATATATATACACTATATGTACTTATAAATATATGTACATTTATATCCAAATATACAGAAAGAAATATACATATATATATATATGCATATATATATACATATACATAGCTACATGTGTGTATATATATATATATGGATTATACGTATACATATACATATTTGTATAGATGTGCACAGGAGCTTGGAGTGTGTGTGATTTGAACCTTTGTATGAGTCTACTATCCTGCATGTGGGTGTATATGTGTATATATATAAGTGCATACATATATAATACATAGACATATATATATATATATATACACCCACATTGACATACTCTCTCTCTATATATATACACAAAACAACCAATAGATTAGATGTAACCATATATGGTATTATACAATATATGTACCCATGTGTATACATCTGCATGTATGTATATGCATATATATATATGTATACATGAGGGTGTGTGTATATATATATATGTATATATACATACATATATATATATATATATGTACATATAATATATATATATATATATATATATATATATATATATATATTTATACATATATATATATATGCCGATGCCAGCCTCCACCTGCAGTCGCAAGATCTCCGCCGAGGGTATTTGTCGAGCCTGCCAGCAAAGCATTAAAAACCTCATGGCATAGGAGTGACAATAAAGGACAAACAATAAAACAAATCAACTGCCAGCAAACAAAAAACACAAGCAACCACAAGGGATCCAACCCGGTGGAAAAAATAAAACGACCCAAGGCGAGAAACCACAGCAAATCTAACCCATTGGGAACAACCCCAAACCACCACAGGCGAGAAACCAGAAAAATCCAAACCAAAACCACCACAGGCGAGAAACCAAAAACAATCCAACCCGCTGGGAAGAAACCAAAACCACCACAGGCGAGAAACCAAAAACAATCAAACCCGCTGCGGAAAACCAAAACCACCACAGGCGAGAAACCAGAAAATTTCTAACCCGCCGGGAAAACCAAAACCACCACAGGCGAGAAACCAGAAAATTTCTAACCCGCTGGGAAAAACCAAAACCACCACAGGCGAGAAACCAGAACATTTCTAAACCACTGGGAAAAAACCAAAACCACCACAGGCGAGAAACCAGAAAAAATCTAACCCGCTGGAGAAAAACCAAAACCATCACACAAAAGCGAGACAGACCAAGCCAACCACAAGCAAAAAACCAACCACTAGCCGCACCGGTTGCGGACAGAGCGTAAATCCTAAGATCCCGGGCTGGTCCTAAGATCGCCCAGAGAATTGGTTTCCTGGCCTAGAGACTTGGTTTCCTGGCGCCGTCTGGCGCGGTGTTTTTGCAACAAGAAACTTGGACAAAGCGTTCCAGATATTCCCGTGCAAAAAAAGGTGTTTTTGTTAATGAATATATATATATATGTATATATGTATCTATATATATATATATATATACATATATATATATACTTTTTGTATGTACATTGTGTATCTGAATACATACTATCATAAGCGGTCCTGTCTGGTTATATATATATATCAATATCACTATAAAATTATATATATATATATATATATATAATTATTATATATTATTATATATTATAATATATTATAATATATTATAATATATTATAATATATTATAATATATATATAGATATATATATTCTACCATGCATAAAATAAGCAATATATACAACAAACAATATTTGACAAGCCACGACTTATTTCACAGTATTTAGAAGATGTATAACAACAATGCATCATATTATAACACAAAACATGTAGTATGTATGTATGTATATATATATATATATACAGATGCGTATCGTACATAAAATTGTTTTATGAGCTATATCTATACATATATATATACATATATATATATACATATATATATGTATGTATGTATGTATGTATATACGATATTGCACAATCGTCCAGGATTATGTGTTACTTACTGGTCCCGAATACTTATCATATAGTCTGACCTATCTTTACTTTGTCGGGAAGCTGTGGACTAAGCATCAGTTCTGTGCTTGGTACATCGCCGATGATCATACAAAGAATGTTACATATTGTCATTTCTACTTCGTGTTGTAGTTTTACAAACAAGAAACTTGCTAAGGAGGTTTGCTATGGCATATAATTATCCCATTCAGTCCAACCTTCAAAAATATGTATGTATGCTTATATATATATATATATATAATAGATGAGAGGCATGTTGCCTTTTTGCATGCACCCAAACAACCAAAACTCAGACACCCTCCCCCCTTTGTCGACAACTACAAACACAAAGCACAACACAACATCATGCTTGCTGCTCACGACCAAACAAGCAAGCTGCTGCTGCATACTTTTTGCTCAGCCAAATGCATTACTCAGCATCAAAGCAAACAGTTCTGAATTAGGCGATTGCAAGAAGCCATTTGAGATTCTATACACGTAGGAGCTTCTTTATGTCATCAGGGATATTCAATCCTTTACAGCCACGAAGGTAGGCATTTACATCGTCCATCTTTGCGTCCAGCCAAAGGTCAGTATCGATGAAGCTCCTCAGCATGTCGTCTCCAGTCATAGTTCCACTCGCCTTGAAGCACCATATATGCAGCAGACAGGACATCCGACATGCACAGTTCTGTTAAACAATACAACAGCATTTGGTCTGCAGATAAAGACTCCTGCGGATTGCGGAGACCGCGAAGACCATCCATTAGTCGTGGAATGAGGGCAGCAAAGTTGTATCCGAACCCGCAGGTATAGGACCTTATAGTGCAGGCCAAAGTTATGTGCAATATATATATATATATTGATGAGCACACACACCCACTTCCCGATACAGTTCAGGGCTGGGCTGGCTTTGCTTCAGGCGTTTGTTGCCTGTGTATCTCTGGCGTCCCCGACCATCCTCGTACCGATGAACTAGATGTTTCTTTTGCTTCTTCGTGCACTTCGCCTTCTCCTCATTTTGGATGCTATAGGCAGAATATTTGCTCATAATGACGGCATTGCAAGCATGATCGATATTATGAATAAGGTCGAGCCGCTGACGAGTCCTCGCCCAAGTGCAAGGCAGAGATGAGGTGGCTATTGCTCCATAGACAAGTAGGCTTGCGTGTTTCTGCACCATGCATGCTCATCCAAATTTTTTGCTTGAAAACCTGAAGTTGCAATCTTGTAGGTCTGGCTCATGCACCGAAGTTATTTACCAAGTATGAAAATGATGCTTTGCATGCAGACAAACAACAATGAAAGTGATGCTTTGCATGCAGACAAACAACATAAGCAACATGATCGCAGAAAAACTTCCATCTGGGTAAGTCCCCGAATCTAGCGCTGCCTGGTTGTTCAAGGACAAAGACGATGGAGAGAGCCATGCAAATGTAGCAGAGCAATATAGTCCTGGTCATGAACATGATTCGGGTGGGCCCAGGCTGTTTCCCCTAAACATTCAGATTCTTTAGTGCAGTAGAGCCGCCTATGCGCCAATAGATTTCCAGTGCGAACGAAATCCCGAGACTCATCTCCCAACGGGCAATACCAAGCACGCTTGCTCTGTGCGAGACACATGTCTGAAAAACTGGAGCAGACTGGTGCAAAGAAAGCCACACCACCGGGCTCCAATCGCAGCAAGGCTGCAATGGCCAGCCTCTAGAATCATACTCACACACAGCTACAGTAAACATGCGGTAGGCTGACACATGTGTATGTCAACAAGCGAAGCAACTTAGATTTGAGATACGGTGCCCCATCCCAGCCGGCGTTAGGAGGTCCATGAACTTCCCTCCATAGGTGATATCCAAAGAGATCGATTTGTAGTTCAAGGCTCGAGAACAGAAAGTCAGATTCCCATCACCGGCGAAGAATTCCACCACTCGCCACGCCTGCAAAGCAAACCCAAAAAACAACAAGCACATATATATGGTGTATATATAATATGTACTGACATATTCATCCATGTATAGGTGGTTTTATTGAGTCATGAGTGAAGCATGTGTGCGTGTGAGAGGGATGTTTGTATTCTGTGCTTAATTGCATCCCCGGCACCTGGCTCAAATCAATATCATCGATGAAGTATAAGAAGATCACAGCCAGCACCAGCACCTCGGCACCGTGCCAATGAAGGTAAGCTCACCAGAATCTGAGCTATCGAGTATATATGCAGCTGCGAATCTCTCGGGAGTGCCGCTGCATGCATTCTGCAGAGGAGCCGATCGAATTTCCATGATGCAACCCTATTGAGGGAAATTCCCTCCATTTCATGCATGAGCCACTTCGAATTTAGAAACACGAGAACAGAATCAACAACAAGCAAATCGCAAATGAGTTTAAACATACCAGACCGTACTATATATAGATCTTATGCATACAAGCCCTATGCATGCCAATAACGGTTGGACTGCCAAACATATATACACACTTTAAGCCGAACTTTGCTGCCAAACAGTTGCTCACAGAACTTGCTGTCACTCAAATCAGACTGCTCACAGCTGTCCTGTCCCTCTCCCGGAAAGGTGGATGCCTCCGACGGTGCTGCTGCTGAGCTGCCGCCGTGCCAGGCCTGGCAACCAGCCATGAATAGTTCAATAGAGGGTAGTAGACACCCAAACGGTGCAACAACATGTGCTCCTGAAACGAGCCATAAAACTAGCCGACATAGCTTGCAACATCTTCTGCATCATCCACGGGTCTCAGAAGCCGCTTGCGCCCTCGAGGCATCCCGGTCCTAGCCATATCAAAAGACTACACAGCACAATACATGCCACACATGTTGAATAAAGCCAGCCACCACGTCCTGCTGGCAACGACACCGCCAAAGAAGATGACCTCACGTCGTTTGTTGATCAAGCACTCATTGTATGGACAGCACTTACAGACAACCTTGTATGCTTCATGGTGCGAATCAAGCAAGCAAGCTCAACATGCCCACAATACTTTTCGGCGCAGTCGGATCTCCACATGTTCGACGGGTTGCCCCAGCAGGCCCTACACTGACGTGCTACGTGGGATTTTCGATGCCACGGTCCTCCCCATAGGTCCCCAGCCATGTCTGAAACGAAGATGCAGATTCACTTATCAAGAGAATGTTGTGGATAAGATTCTCATAAAATATGCAATTAAATCATCATGGCTGGCACCTATTGACCCTGTGACCTCTATGCATCTACCCACTCACATCAGCGTGCCCTGCAGCCCGTGTTGGGAACTTCATAGGAACTGTTCCCGAAAAAGCAGCCTGGTCAAGCATGCCTGTCTATTCACAAACAATCTATGCGTGCTCGTGCCTTTGTACTGTTTTGGAACATATGTTGGAATAGTCCAGGTTATGTTCAACACCAGCTGCTGCACTTCAAACCAGGCCAGCGGCCAACTCAGTTGCAAAATCCTTTTCAAGCTGCTTCAGGTGGACGTCGGCCTTGGCCCACAGCTGCTTCGGTGTCACCTTCTTGTTGTCTTGCAAGTGCTGCGCCTTGGCATTCGTTCATGTTGTGTGCTGCTGTTGTTTGCGTGTCTATTGTACGACAACAAACATCATGCTGCATCCGAGTGACAGCCCAGTTGCAAAGCCTAATCAGCACAGTGTAGGAGGGGTAGCTCATATTCAGGACCGAATGTCCCGTGCTCTTCTCCCGAACACCGGCTTTCTTTTGATTGCCAACCCAGTAGACCTCGATGCGGTAGATCTCAAACTTCATGATCATCCTTAGACAATGGCCGTATATTGTAGGATTTCGTCAAGCATATATTCCCCATGTCTAAATGATTGTGGCTTCAGTGCTCAGGGTGATTGAGTTAAGAGTCTATAGGGATATTCTGTTTGTGACATCAACCATAGAAGGCTTGGTGAAGGTGTAGACCCCGAGCATGTGCGAGCCAAGGCAAGAGCAAACAAGCACAACAACCGACATGTACATGCTCCTATTCTGTATGCAGGCTAAAGTTCTTCTTGAGCTCCTGCTTCTCCTCCTGTGTGCACAACGGTTTGCCGACCTTCTTCCTCTTGGGATTGCCTTCCCCCTGCTCCTTGGTTTGATCCGGCTCCTCGTTATCCACAGGCTTCGCCTTCGACTTAGCTGCACTGGCTTTCGGCGTGGCTGCTTTGGCTTTTGCCTTTCCTTTCGGAGTGGCTTTGGCTTTTGCCTTTCCTTTCGGAGTGGCTTTAGCTTTTGCCTTTCCTTTGGGAGTGGCTTTGGCTTTTGCCTTTCCTTTGGGAGTGGCTTTGGCTTTTGCCTTTCCTTTGGGAGTGACTTTGGTGTTTTTTGTCGGCTCGGACTTCTCCTGGTCATCTCCAGCCGGCTCCTCACCTTCATCATCTGACTCCGGATCCCCAGCTCTACCGGCCTGTCGGAGGACAGCAAGTTTCTCCTCCTCTTTTGGGGTGTTTGCTTCGACTTCATCATGCTTTACCTCCAATGATACGGATCGCGGAGGACTTGGAGGGTCTCCGAGCAAGGGTGGGGGACTTGGCGCAGGGGCAGCAACATGAGCCATCGGCGGCTTCACCTGAACGGGGACAAACGGCCCCAATTGCAAAGCTCCAGATGCTTCAGAGGCCCTGCTCGCTTCCTGGCGGGCGAGCCCGGCCGCTTTGAGATCGCCGGACCTCTCAGCTTCAGAAGCCCTCACCATTGCAGCCTCCTCAGCTGCTTTATGCATCCAAAAGTCCAGGTGCTCAGGAGCGAACAGGAATTCCTGACGATTTGCTGCCTCAGCCAAAACATCTCGCATCACATCGGGAGCTTCAGCATCTGCTTCCGACTCTTCGGAAAGCTCTGGAATCTCCGCATCGTAGTCCACGTCCTGGGCCAGCTGAACCTCTTCTGGAGCATCGGGCCCTGTCACCTCGATGGGCGAAATACATACCTGCGATGCCAAAGCTGCAGCAGGCGAACTCACCTGAATCATGTCTCGGTAAGGGGATACGGTTTTCCCGGTCTTCCGGGATCCAGCTGCTTTGTCTGGGGAGGCTACCCTGGCCTTCTTTTTTTCACGACCTCCCTGCTCGCTCTCACTAGAGCCATGCACTTCACCGAGTTTTAGTGTCTTGGCATGTAGCAGCTCGTACTCGTCCCTCGGTTGTTCGCACGTCATGTTTGATTTGTATGCACAGCACATCAAGCCAGCATATTATGATAATGCCGAAAAGGATCGGATCCATCTTAGGAGACTCCTCAGCCTGCTCATGTGAATCGTTGGACTTGCTAAGAAGTAAAAATATTGTTTACGAAGCGGTGCCTGCAGAGCTTCAGCATCCTTTGCATTCAGCTGCTGCAACACCCAGTCCACAGAGCCCTAGCAAGAGAAGGTAGAGGTGAATCGCTTGTGCTATTGATTGACGACACTGCAAATCACGAACATGTCTGAGGTACACATTGGTGGCCTGAACATCCTCATCGGTCATCTTCTGCGTTTCGACGTCATCAACGGGTCTTGGCTATACATTTGCAAGCAAGCATGCAAGCAGCACGAACATCAACAGCAACAGTACTGACACATACCATAATATTAATTTGCAGTCAAGTTGCTTGCTGCGTTGCTGCTGGAGCTTCATCTTGATGTGTTGTTTGATGGCATCCACTGAGCCTGCAAAGAACTTACATCAACAACACATGCATTCAACCTCATCTGATAACTCATTAGACAGTAGAAGAAGTACCTAGCCTGCGTAGGCATTGCCTTGCCATCCTTTGCCAAAGACTTCGGACCGGCACGGTGTAGCAACAATGTTATTTCCTGGACCCTTGCTCGACGACGAAGGCTCTGGAAGCGGAACATCATCCTCGAGCTCGGTCTCCGTGATCGAGGGGGAACTAGCCACAACCAAAGCTTCAGCCAAGGCATCCTCCTTGAGTGGAGCCGCCTCCTCCGGCTGATGCAGACTGTCTTTCTCAGCCTTGGCACGTTTGCGCCCCGCCTTCTCATAAATAAATCGTGGAATGCGGAGTTCTTCGTTCGTGTGCTCACGGTATAGCACCTTCAAACAACTCAAGCATCACAATGCATGCCCATGAGTTTGTTAGTGAGCTGGCTGAGCAACAACTCTGTATTGTGTGTATCTGAGACAACAACCGACAATCAAGCGCAAGCATGCCGGGTCAAATTGCTGCCGAGGTGCTGTGAGCTCGTTGACCTCAGGATCTCGTTGACTCTTCGACCGATCTGCCAGTCCTGGGCCGCAGGTTGAAAAAGACACACCGTGACTGTCTTTATGATTGCAACAATCATGTCCAGCTAAGTGTCGCCGGTGGGCACCAGCCAAAGTTTTCAGTCCATGTGCATCGGAGTTGATCCTTGCCTCACTCAAAGGAGCCTGAGCAGCCAAGCCATCATGAATTTTTTTTTGCTGGTTGCACTGCATAGTTATTGCAGATTAGTCGCTTCCCACTTGTTCGCCACTCTCTGTAGCACAGGCTCGAAAAAAGGCACACGTATCATGCTCGGATTGTCGGCCGTCACGACCACAACATGTCGAAGAACGATCTCAGATGCAGTTAAACAAACTTGCTATGGAACCGAGCTATCAATACCGTTCTTGCAAGAAAGATATATCAAAGCCAGGCAGCCCGATTCAACTTCATTGCCTTTGCGGTGGCACGCTTATCCTCGTCACCCTTCTTGTTGTAAGGCCACATAAGGAACCGTTTCAGGTTCCCCGTGCGAGTTTTAAGCTCCTCGTCTTTGCATAACGCCTGCGGCACGAAATCTGCGAAACTCTACATTCGGTGGTGTTCATGTCAACATGCAGACATGTATATGTCTCCAACCTCGTACAACATATCCGACAATCGCTGGATCAGTTGGAGGTCGACCGGGGCATTATTTCCACGAGCAGGCGGCATGGCTATACAGAGGCAAGGCCAAAAAAGCAAGTCTATAAACATGCACCGAACAGTTTTCCGAACGTCTGTATGGAAAGTGTATGTGTTCTATTGCTACTGATTTTGATCGCCCCTGCTGTCGGCTGATACAAATGCAAACACCAGCTTGAAAAGATGCTGCTGCATAAAGACAAGCTTGCAGCAGCATGAAATGCATCTCATACCGGCAAACGTTGCTCGACCCATTCTCAGCCTCCGGCAGTGGGTTGGAATCGAATCCACGACCATTGCATGCATGTCCATGTTGTTGTTGCTGCTGCGGTTGTTGCTGAATTTGTTACTGAGCTCGTCTTGTTGTCACACACATGCCCAACATGCACACAACAAGTCCAGCATATTTATTGATATATTCAAGACTACTTGAGAAGAATCAAAGAAGGCACAAGAATATATTCCCCATTTTAAGAATTCTCAGAACTATATAAGAATAGTGAGAATATGAAATCTTACCACAAGAACTAGGTAAACCAGAAAGTATTGGTTTAAACCAAGAAGAACTACTCAACCAGAAAAAGGAACGCCAAAAGGTTGTCTAGGTATAGGGTGCACTACGGACAAGCGGTTCATGGACACCACTATGCATCACCCGCGAACTCAACCTTCATGCCTCAAAGCCGGAACGCACGAGACCAGTCCCTACACCCTTTAAGTTTTATGAACCCTATAAACATGATAAACCTTAAACCCTACAACCTTAAACCCTAAACCCTGAAACCTAAATCCGACACCTGTACTCCCTTAGCCTATCTCAACTTCAAAGTCCCCGCAAACCAGCTTTTTCCAAGACCTGATGCCCTACGTACGTTTTGATAAGGGCTTGGGGTCCATGCTTGCTGGTGCGTAGTAGGGAATGGAGGAATGGATCCCTATAGTAGTCCCTCTGTATATAAATATTTATTTATATGTATATATATATATATACAGATAGGGTTTAGGGTTTAGGGTGGTAGTAGTGCTATATAATCCCCAACACTAGTCCCCATTAATCCGTTCCCTACGAAGCACTAAACAGTCCATGGGGGCGGGTTTGGCGGTTCATGGGTTGCAGGTGTAGGCTTGAACCCTATCACCGCGAATCCTCTTTGACCGTCTTGCTGTCCAGGCTCTGAACCTCCCAAACCCTAGGGCCCATGTACCCAAACAGTATTATGCAAAGGCCCCAAAGTGCCTGTATAGGGACTACTTTAATTAAGGCCAAAGTAATTACTATTTGGGTACACGGACTCCTGAATCCTAAAGCCCTTGTCGAATCCTTTGTGGGAAACCTTCTCAAACTCCAATCAGGTACGCTCGGCCCTGGGACCCTCAAGGACAACGTCACCGCAATACGGTTGATGATATAAATCCTGCATTACCTTAAGGCCCCTAAACTATGCGGTTGATGATATAAATCCTGCATTACCCATAACAAGGAATATACCATAATTCCCATAGTTTATGGGCCTTAAGGTAATGCAGGATTTATATCATCAACCGTATAATGTAGGGGCCTCAATAATTAGAATTGGGTTTGGGGCCAACTATACTTCAATTGTATTGAGGAACCACCTATTTAAGCCCCTATATTACGGCCTGGCTGACTCCTTGACTAGGTTTGCTGACATAAACCCTGCATTACCCATCATAAGGAATATGCCATAGCTCCCATAGTCTAGGGTCATTCAGGTATTTAATGCAAGGTTTACATCATCAACCGTATGGTTTTCTTTGGGGAGCCGCAAGGAAGCGTAGAGTATGAGCAACTATACATTTAGGGTCAGGCCACTTTACACATCCCTTTTCTTTCGAGAAACTCCAACCGATCTGAAATAGTCAGGGTATTGCACAAACACATACATTCTGGGCTCCCTACTAAACATCACCACTCAAGGGATCCAAAGAAACTGAAACTAAGAAGTCTAGGTCTTAAACCCCCCGCCTCAAATCCCAGCAGGTGTAGATTCTGAAAGTGGATCCGCGGACTGGGCTGTCTGCCAACCTCGCAGACCCCAAAGCATCGTTTCAGTTTAAGGGTTTCGGGTCGAGGCTTTTTAACGGTCTGACAGCAACAGCCGACTCGAAGATAGACTGAATGTATTCGTCAACGCGTATACCCAAAACTCTGGCAAGTGCTGCTACCACTCCTCCTGCTCCTGCAACTAACTCTACAGAGAAATGCTTTTGCAGCAATGCGACAGTCTCGGGTAGCAAAATGGATGCCCAGCTACTTGAAGGTTTACGGGCACTTAAAACTCGGGCCATATAGCAGTACATATGGCCACTACATTTCTACCCCCAGTAAGAACCTCGAAGTAAATTTAGATTGGTGGTCCAAGCTTCCGGTATTTCACAACAAACTCATGCTGTCTCAACACTACAAACAAGATCTTGCACTCTCGATGGTGCAGCAAGGACCATGGCATGGAGTTTCCGAACATCAGGGGTTCTCCATGCAGTGGCCCTGAAATCGAGGCTCCGCAACCCCTTAGGCATCTATGAAGGGGAGGCTGAATATCACAAACCCCTGCAGAATACGATCATGGTCATGTAGCCCATAACCCTAATTCGAAACCCTTAAACCTTAACCCCATAACTCCCCATGACGCTAAGTCCTAAACCCCTGAACCTTTAAACCAGAACCCTAAATCTAAACCCTTCAACCTTTAAGCCATAACCCTAAAGCCTGAACCCTTAAACCTTTAAGCCATAACCCTAAACCCTCAACCCTAAACCCTTGCACCTTTAAACCACAACCCTAAACCCTACCTTACCCCTGAATCCTGCGCCTTCTGTCTGATTCATGGGCCCTCCCCAACCACCACTGAACCGAATCTACCCTAAACCCAAAGCAAACCCCACTTGGAGATAAACCTAAACCCTAAACCCTAAACCCTACACCCTACACCCTAAACCCTAAACCCTACACCCTAAACCCTAAACCCTACACCCTAAACTCAGAGCCCAACATTTTTTATTTCGGACACGGGTTGCCTGGTTGATTGCCAGCTGCACCTGCTTGCAAGCGTGCTCGGAGTCGGGGGGGGCTTCGAGCACTGACGAGCTTAAGGTTTAGGATGTTAGTCCCGAGGTCTGCGGTGTTGTGCCAAAGCTCCTGGGTTTAGGGTTTAGGGGTTTAGGGTTTAGGGCTGATTCAGGGTACCCGAAGGTTTAGGGGTTTAGGCTTTACCCTAAGGCTCCTAAGAGGGTCTTGGGCTTTCTGGACGAGGGTTTCGGCTTTGGGGGCTAGGGTTCGGGATCTCACTACGAGGGTCCAGGAGCCTTAAGGTAAGGCTTGGGAGGTTTAGAGCTGAGGATTTGGGGGTTTAGACCCGTTTGGGAACTATTTGGAGAACTTGTGCATCTGATACAGCAGGCCTGCCATATCTGCATGAAATCACGATAAAGACAAAAACAGTTTTCGAAGCCTTAAGCAACCAATGCACCAGCAAACCACGGTTCAGACGGACTCCGTTCTAGTCTAAACTTTCTGTCTTAAAATGTCCAGGTTCCTGGGGCTGCATTCTACTATAGAACCCATAATTAAACAACGCTGAACCCTAAACTCCCCTCCAAACTGCTGTAGGCCCCTAGGTAATTTTGGGTTTAAGGGCTGGTTACAAAGTTGCCTCAGTCTAAACCCTAAACACTAAGCTTAAACCTTCTCAGCAGTACGCCGGTTACGGCAAAGATGATGCTGCTGGGGATAGGAGAGGGGAGCCTAGTAATCTAGTCGCAGGCTGTCCAGAGGAAGGACACAGAAACGTGGACCCTAGGTGTAGGGTTTAACTCTAGAAACGGGAAAAGACCGATGCCATACAGATCACCTTGTAGAACCCTTAAAGAACCCTTATTTCCGAAATCCAAAGCTTGATTTCCATCCCAAACCGCCCAAAATCCGGATTGGGGTCTGGGGCTTATAGATGATCGCGCTTATGGTTTACATAGCTTGGGGGCTTATAGGCTAAAGGGTTTACGCTTTAACAATTCCCTAAACCCCAAACTCCCTAAACTCCCTCAAAACCCTAGACCGTTTAGGTTTAAACCTGGCCTGCGCCACCAAAGACTGTTGACCCCCGCTTCCGGGAAAGTCGTAGAGAGTCCCGAGGTCTGCGGTGTTGTGCCAAAGCTCCTGGGTTTAGGGTTTAGGGTTTAGGGGTTTAGGGTTTAGGGCTGATTCAGGGTACCCAAAGGTTTAGGGATTTAGGCTTTACCCTAAGGCTCCTAAGAGGGTCTTGGGCTTTCTGGACGAGGGTTTCGGCTTTGGGGGCTAGGGTTCGGGATCTCACTACAAGGGTCCAGGAGCGTTAAGGTAAACCCTAAACTCATGGAACAATTGAAACCTTGCAGCCTAATTAGGATTTCTCACAGGCGAAACCCTCAACTCCGAACGGTCACGTCTTCATGCATCTTTATTGCAGTCCGTATATAGCGACACTAGTCATTACTTACCCCCAAGCCCCATTCAACACGTTATTGCGCTTGTTGTGAACACCTCAAAAAGCATAAGTCTCCTCAGCCAGGAAGAAAAACTCAAAGAAGAAACCGTTACACCCAGCCGAGTCGGCAATAGAGCGACAGTTGATGATAAAAACCCTGCAGTTCCCATAGTAAGGAATATACCATAATTCCCATAGTTTAGGGTCCTTAAGGGAATGCAGGATCTATAACATCAGCCGTAAGACAAGCTACGGAATGTCTCCAAATCTTAGCGGCTGAGTACCCTAGCCCACAAAAGGTTAACCTTTGCAAATTGTTGTGGGATCATACACACTCTCCAAAGATTAACCGTTATCTACTCAGCTACTAAGCAATTTAGAGTCAGAAGCCCTAGATTGGATTAAGGGTTCAAGGTTTCAGGATGCGGGGCTATGGGTCCTAGAACTAGCAAGGCATGTGGGCTCTCTTGCAGCCGAGTCTCTTCAGAATGTTGCCGCAACCTGTCTGAAACGAAGAAGACGGCCAAGCTGCTGACATCGAAGATGACATCACAGTCAAGATTGCCTCGTGGAGATTAAAGCTGCGGTGGTTTTGGGGCTGTAATGTAGGAGCCTGAAACATGAGAATAGGGTCTCGGGGCCCAAAATAGTATAGGTAATTGTGTAGGCCCCTATAGTAGGGCTTTAGGGTTCGAGTCTTAAGGTGCCAGGCTTGTGGGGAATTGGGGCTGTGGAGTGTTCGTGCTTGGCGACTGAGGTTAAGGGCGTCTCGGGAATAAACCCAAAGGGTCCAAGTATCATTATGGTATATGGGAGCTTCCAAAAACAGGGGACCCTAAACATAGTACCCTAACATAGTAGGATCCTTACTATAAGGACCCAAAAATCAAGTAACCACAGTTTTCGGAAACCCCCATAAACTTATAGGGTGTTTTGGGGATCTAAGTATATACCATACTGAGATTTGAACCCTTTGGGAAATCAATAGCCAGGCCTGCGATCCTTCTGGATACCAAACCCCAAGGGTCCAATGAGTTCAGGGTTTAGGTGTTATAGGGTTTAGGGTAGTAGTTATGTAGCTTACTATTTTGGAAAGTATATGATCGTTAGGTACTGTGACCCTTAGGGTAACAAGAACCGGCTCAGACGAAGCCCTTGAGATGCGTTGTGTCAATACCAATTTGCGTAAACTCGACCCCTCAACAGTCGTGCGTGCAAGCCAATGCCGCTCAAATGTCCCAGGATGCCGCTCCATGTGCTTTTCCAAAGGGTCCAAGCATCATTATGGTATATACTTCTGGTGACACTTGGACCCTTTGGGCTTTTTTTCACCTGCAGCGAGCTAAGGATGCTGCCATTAACACTTCTGAATTCAGAAGTGTGAATGAGGCACGGCCGTGTGGGCAAGGAAGCAAGTCCTTTCTTGACTGGGCAGTAGGCGCCACTTTGGATTTCCAAGGAAGAGCCCTAGTTATAGTTTGTGTCAATGAAACCGGACGCCCTCCCAGCTTCACTTGACCCACGGAATGAGATCTGCTGTGAGGGAAAGGCGACATGCCCAGCCTTCTTTGTAAGGAAGGCAGCATGTCAATGAAATTAGTGCTGGAAGAGGAAGACGTGACACTTACGATAGTGCACCCTGGCGAATATGTACTCGGTCTAGATGTGCAAGTGGCTGGGGCCAACTGGGGAACCTTCTTCATACCCGACGACTTGTGCGTTTTTGACTCTACAGCAACGGCTACTCTAGCGCATCGCTGCATTCTTTCCGAAGCAGATGCGCGAATGGTAGTTGTTGGGCCGGTTCCAGAGCTTTGCTCTTACCACGCTGACACCCGCATGCTTCAGCACATAGAGCGTTCGGTTGTTGAAGGTGTAGTACCGCCCAGCAGACCGTCAAGCCCATGTCATTGGGTTGGATGACACCCGCTCGAACCTAGTTCATGGTTCGCGTAATATTAAACATTTACATGCTTATTCCTTTTGGGGTTTTGAGTACCATGAACATGTAAAATGTTACCCAACTATCGCAAAGGAACGTTCACGATCACATCTGAGAGGAAATCTCCAGCATTGATCCCATGGCGGAACCGGCAAGACACGCTCTCCTGGGTGAAGTAGCAGTCCGCCACCTGGGCATGGGTAAGTGACTGCAGAGGAACGGACTTGCACTGGCAAGTTGCCACCAGCCATCAATAAACTATCGTATAATGTAACAGAAAACACTCAATGAAACATAATGTCACAAGCCATGCGGGAATTCAAGGAACGATAAGACGACGAGCCGTGCCTGCAGGCTGATGAAAGAATCGGCCTGGGGAACGCGAGGGAGAAAGCTCCGACGTCTCGGGAGGAAGAGGCCGTCGTCGCTTTCGTAGTCGGAATCGAACCTGCTCCAAGTCTCGTGCAAACTCGCTTCCTGATACCTTTAAACCTTCAATGGCTTCAACATGAGACTTTGGAACGAGTGGCAAAGGCCGTGGGAGAATTCAACGAACCTTCACGGCAACATCCTCATTTTCAATCGTTTTCTGCTGAGAAGCAACCACTCCATATCTCCGGCCTCCCTTGTCAAAAAGAACCCTCCGATTCAAAGAACCCTGCTACACTATGCAACCGAGACCACCTTCCGAAGTCCAGGTCATCATCAAACGCAAAGCGGTCGCGAGCGAAGTACATCTGCTCGAGCACAGGATCTGTAATGAGAGCAAAGCAATATTACCTCCTGAGCCCAACAGCTGCGCGCACGGAGCCTCAAGCACGGTTCCAAGCAGCACGGGCAGGCGAGGTCAATCGCCGTATTATGAGCACTATCGGTCACTATCGGCACTGGCTTTGACTTGGTGATGAAGCCTTGGAACCTTAGAAGTGTCAAGCAAAGTTCAACTCATTCCACTTGTTCGTTTGCTTAATTAGGGCGGGCTGCCTCAAGGCTCCTGGACCCTTGTAGTGAGATCCCGAGCCCTAGCCCCCGAAACCCTAAACCCTAAACCCTAAACCCCAGAAAGCCCAAGACCCTCTTAGGAGCCTTAGGGTGGGCCCTAAACCCCTGAACCCACAAGGCCCAAACTGATCGCGCCTGCTCGCTCTTCGTCCGATTGGGCCACTTCTGTTGAGCCTCTGTGTGGGGCGTCACCAAGAAAGCCCAATACTCCGCAATTGTGAATAGTAGACCTGAAAAATACTGGGGCCGTAAGATTGTATGTAAAAGTTCTACTCCTGAATTAAGGGGTATGGGGCTCTCTGGGCAGAGGGTTTGATATGGGAATTGCCAGGCTCTTATCGGACTCATTTGTCTCGTTTGGAAAGCCCTAATCTCTGAACCCTAAACTCCTGAACTAGATATGTCCTGGACCCTTTGGCATTTTCAACATGGCAGGCAATGGCAGGCAATGGCAGGCTTTCAAACTCTTTCACTTATGCCTCTCGAAGACTCCAGGTATTCCTTTAAAGGGCTTATTGTATGCAGAACACTTCAAACTGAAATAAAATGTGAGCAACAACAGCTTCCAACCCAAATGGGCTAAGGGTTTCTTGTTGGTTGTCCACTTTGCTTTTGAGCCCACGAAAACACACCAAACAACTAAAATTAGATCCTACCTTAACCCCAAAGAGCCCGCAGTTTTCGGGTTTCTTGTCATGACTTGTTGCTATTGCTTCGTAAACGGCTAGGGTTTTGAACGGTCCAGAGTCCAGGTACACCCCAAAAAGCCGGGACACACCCTGATGATTCAACCAAACACCAAACACCAAACACAGAACAGAGGGACAGCCACCTCCAAGAACCCCCCAAAACCCTGACATCTAGCAGTGTTTAGGATGTATATAGGGTGTAGGGTTTAGCGCAGTAGGGTTACTATAGTTACTATAACGGATTGCTATTGGGGTTAATAGAAGGGTTACTACAAGGGCTTTCGCCCTGTACAAAGAAGCCAACCTAAGCCCCATACGCTGAGTCCTAAGTCGCCCGCCTAAGGTGGAGGAAGGAAGGTCGGCCATGATCAAGGGCCCGACAGCCTGGGTTGCGGGCTCCGAACTTCACAGGGCTTCTTGGGCTCTAGGATTGGCCCTTCGAGTAGAGTTTAGGGTCTGGATTAGGGGGTTTATAGGGTTATAGGGTTACAGGGAATACTTGGAGGTTCATGGGTAGTTAGAATCGGAGTTTTGAGTCGCCGAATATGGGTTGTAATCATAGTTACCCCACTTATACTTCCACTTATATCTACCCATGAACCTCCAAGTAGGGTTTGAGAGTATAACTAAGGTTATAGGGCTTAGGGGTTGTAGGGTTCCGTGCTTCAATAGCTGAGGTGTTGATTATTCTATGAAGTCTCAGGGCACTGGGGCTCGCGGCCTGGAGGAGACCCTTAGGGTTTAGGTGTAGCTTAGCGGCTGAGTACCCTCGCCCAGAAAAGGTTAACCTTTTCAATTATCGGTAGGATTTTCTCAGCCCCAAAAGGTTAAAGGTTACCTACTCACCTACTAAGTTAGGGTCTTGAAGGTTGCTTAGGGTTTTGGATTTAGGGTCTAGGTTTAAGGGCTTCGGGTTTACGGATTGGCAAGTATAGAGGACCAAGAAGGAGTACCCATCGTAAGGGTCTGGTGTTTGGGGCCTATGTCGCAAAATGCGCACGTCCGAGACCCAAGCCCACTGCAAGGCTGACCCTACTAACAGAGCCACCTGCGCAAAACAACTGGTTGCTGAGATACTGTCATATGCGTGCTGGCTTAAGAGTATAGTTTTAAAGTTCAGGGGCCATTCGCAGATACAAGTACAAGGGCGGATGCAACCATGTTAATGGGGGGTCACAACCGCTAACTGTCATGGACGTAAACACCTCCACGCTTGTCATTTCAAACAGAACTTGAATCCTAAATCCTAACCCCTGGTTTTACAGTTCCTTCCCTAACCCCTGGTTTTACAGTTCCTTGAAGGGTTCTTATAAGGTTTAAGTAAAGGTAGTGTAGGGTTTAGGGTTTAGGTTTTCGAGGTAGCCCATCCAGACGATAAATACAAAGGCAAGGAGGGAGGAAATCCCTGAGACCAAGTCAACCAACCGGAGCGCAACAACTTTAGGGTCCAAGGCGCACCGATCTTATGCAACCATGTCCTCAAAATCCTGACGGCCAATCTTTGTATCAAGACCCAAAGGGTCCAAGTATCATTCCGGTATATACTTAAAGGGTATTTTGGTGGTATAAGTATATAACATATAAAGGTAGTTGTCAAAATTAGTGGTTCCTTTTTGGATCCCTATTACGCATGATACGGCACCTATTATTTAGGGTACCCAAGAAGGGGCCCTAATTTTGACAACCACCCTGTTGATACTTGGACCCTTTGGGAGATCTGACTGCCTGAATAAACCTTACGCCCCGGACCACCAGAGCGCGCCCCCTCAAGGCCCACAACCCTCCATCGCAAAGCCCTCTATGAGCTTTCGCCGGGCGGCTGCAACATCCTGATGGAACTCGCGGATGCCGACCTTGCATGCGGCAGGAGGCTGGAATTGCCCTGAGCTGCCAATACCCCTTGATTAAGGAAGATACCTTCAATCATAGTATTAAGCCCCCCCATCATTTAAGATATATTCCTTAACTAAGGGGTTTTTGGTTCTCTGGGGAGTCTGGCATTGTAGTCTCAAGAACCGCATCTAAGGCGTAGTAAGTCTGACCCATTTCGACTAATCTTCGGCGCTGTGCCCTAAACCCTACACCCTAAACTCCTAAACCCTAGACCGTACAATGCCGTATAGTAACCCTATAGATCCGTTTGAAGGAACCCCTAAACCCTAAACCCTACATCCCAACAACTCTAAACCCCGTAAGGGCGAGCTGCAAAGCTAAACCCCCGACTTAGACCCTTAAACCAATAAACCCAAAGGGTCCAAAGTACCTTTATAGTAGAATGTAGGGTTTCTATGTCAGGAACTACTATTATTATGATTTGGGGAAGTATCCCCCATAACCGTACCTAGGACCCTTTGGGAAAGGATTTCTCACGATGATGTCGGCTTTGAGGTCGGGACCACGTGACGTATGCAGCCCTCCGTCCTCTCGAAGGGAAGATGCAAGAGCTCCACGTTGATACCTGGCTGTCTTTGGGGGTTTCCTAAACCCCCAACAGTAGGTAAAATAATGGCCCAACACCTATAAAAGACATAATTTTGGGGTCCAGGTTAAGGTTTTTCAGGGTTTAGGGTTGGGGTCCCTAATCCAGCAAATCCGCAAAGTCTTGACTGATACCCGATGTTTAGCGCTAGGGCCTTTAGGGTGTAAGCTTCCCTTTTCAAGGACTTAAATAAGGAACTTCTTTGAAGGGATTAGGGATTAGGGCGTATAGAGTCTGATTAGGGAGAAAAGAGTTTAGGGGTTCGGGGTTTATGGTTTACTTATAGTCTCCATTGTAGTTCCTTTTTTGGTTAACCAAAGTCTCTATTATAGGATCCTAACCATAAAGCTGGTTAACCAAGAAAAGGAAATACAATGGAGACTATAGGTAGGGTCTATCATTCCGCAGGGGCTTGAAAGTCTTTGCGCCATGTGCACCTAGTCCCTATAGGCAGGCAGTTTGTGTCCTGGGCTCACAGCCGCATAATGTAGAAGACGGAATAATTGCCTATGAAGGTCCTAAACCAGGACTTAGGTTAGGGTTGAGGGTTGCGAGCCTTGGTAATTAGAATAGGATTCCTTTAAAGGGTTCTTAAGAGGGGTTCTTTACCGGATCTATGGTATACAGGGTCGAGGGATGAACTTTCAAGGAAGGCGCAGTGCCAACTTCAACCGAGAGCCGCTGTCCTTTTTGTGGGGTTTCAGGTTCAGTTTCCTGAAGCACGAGACTGCCTGCGTTTGAGCTGGAACAAGGCAGATGTCCACCTGTTGGGGTTTAGGGCTGAAGCTGAGGGTTTAAAGGGAACTCCAGAAAGTTGGAATATGGTTTCAGGGTAGGATACCCTATAATTTACCATAAAGGGTTTAGGATAATCATATTCCAACTTTCTGGCTTTTACTTTAAAGGGCTGGGGTTTAGTAGGGTGCAGGGCGGTCGAAACTGCAGAGGCTTTGCTGCCAAGAGCGCAGTCACCCATCTTCACGGATCCAAGGGTAAAAGGAGGGACCCTTAATAAGGACCCCTAGGTATATACCCTTAATATAGCCATTATATACCCGTTATGCCCCATTATAAGGTAGGGGTCCCCATTAAGGGTCCCTCCTTTTCCCCTTTGAGCGGAGCCCAACACCCACAAGCAAAAAGTGTATGCACAGCAGGGCTGCACATTCAGGGCAGGAGCCCACAAGCATATAACATGAGTCCTAGAAGATCCTAGTTGGGGCTTTTAAAGCCTTTGAAAAATAGTAGTAAATAAGATCCTCTTAAGCCCAATAAGGAAAAATATATAATCTCCCAAAGCCCTACCTAGAGATCCTAGAAGCCAGCAAGATTGTCGAAGTCTGAATATTTGCAGATATCGTTCCTGGAGATTTCTATCATAATCATCGTTGATTATATAACCCAAAGGGTCCAGGTATTATTATGGTATATACTTAGACCCCCAAAATACCCTATAAGCATATACCATTATGATACTTGGACCGTTTGGGCAGCAGCCCCTAAAATGACAAAACCCTGACAGTGAGCCGGAAAGAACCCCTTAAGGGAAACCTTTCAGTTTGCCCCCGAACACAGGCCCAAATGTCCAAAGTATCTATATATTGGGGTTTAGGGTTTTGGGTAGAATGTGAGGTTTCTGTGTTCTGAATCCATATTCTGATTTCGGGAGTATGCCTAAACCCTAAACCCTAGGACCCTTTGGGCAGGTCAAGGTGCAGTTTCCCGCAGAATCTTGCAGACCCGCGTTCAGCGCCAAAGCCTTTCCGGAAGCTGCTAAACCCTATATGTGTACCCTTATAGATCCCTTAATTAAAGGACCCCTTAAGCACCCTTACATCTTCCCGGTCAACCCTTATCAAACCCCGCAACCTCTAAACCCAGCGACTTAACCCTAAACCCTTAACCCTCTACCCTAAGGGTCCAGGTATCTCCTTCTATAGGAGGGTCCGGAATCTCCTAGGGAGAGCCCTTGGGCCTCTTTGGTGTCTCAGAAATCCTACCCTAAAGTGTTAGGACCCTGAGGGTAAAGCCTCTTTATGTAGGGGCCTTAGTAAGTAGAATAGGGTGTGGGTCGGCATATTATACTATAACTAGTTCAAGGAACCCCACACCCGATTCTAGTTATCAAGGCCACTGCATTATCTGTTGAAGAACTCCTTATGATAGGACTTTGGGTCCTTTTTGGGTACCGGAAAATCCTAGGACTACTTGGACCCTTCGGGTTGAGAGCGCAGGGGCTAACATAGCGGGCCTTCACAACTAGGATTTGGGTTTCGGGTTTAGGGTTTAGGGTTCAAGTGTTGCATACCGTACAACTACTACCGCAGGACGAAAGTTCGCCACACTGCCTCTAACTCAACATTTGTAGCAGTGCCACCCCTTTTCCACCTTAGACTCCTGACACAAGCTCCCTAAGGCTCTCCGCGGAGAACATTAGATTATAGTAGTATAATATTATTCCAGGAAATTAACCACCCCGCCACGCTGACTGATCTGCGAACTCCAGATCTCGAACTTTAAACCCTAAGATTTACCATAACCCCAAACAACCTACCTTTTGAGGGCTGCTTATTATGACTTCTTGACATAACAAACCTAACCCCGGGGCTCTAAGGACTCATGTGTCAAGGCTGTTGGGCCCAACGAGCATACTACAGTATATAAGGCTCTTGGGCTAGTTTGAGCCTTCGGGTAAGTCGTACATCCTACAATCTACGTCTTCAGTTTCAGGGGGGCCCCTGAGAAACGCACCCAAAGTGTCCAAGCACCATTATCGTAGGTACTTACAAGCAGCAAGTGTTTGGGCCCCAAAAGTATATACCATACCAGTACTTGGACGTTGTGGGTCATATCATATGGATAGTTCTCTAAATTAGGGCCATCTTTAGGTCCTGTTTATAAGGCTGCCGTACTATTTTAGAGACCTACAGCGGGCCCTGATTTAGAGAACAACGTATATGGAGATTCCCAGGGACAATTGTAGGTACTTAGCCCTAAACCCTAAACCCTTTGAGAAGGTCATATATGGAGATTCCCAGGGACAGGCTGTCCGGCGTATATAGTCGCCGAAGACAACCGCTGGCGCACATGATCCCGATCCTCCGAACTAGGTAGGGTCAAGAGCCTTAATAGTTATGTGTATGTATATGTGTATATGTATGTGTATGTGGATGTGTGTGTATGTATGCATGCATGCATGCATGCATGCATGCATGTATGTATGTCTGCATGCATGTGTGCATGTATGCATGTATGTATCTAGATGTGTGTGTTTCTGTGCATACAATTGTAGAACCCTGAAACATGCAATGCGTAGATCTGCATTCCAAACAGTAATGTATGAACAACATGTATTTGTAACAGAGAAGGAGTAAGAATAGCAGTAGGCGTAGGAGTAGCAGCAGAAGTGGGAGGAGGAGTAGTCGTTCCCAAAGGGTCCAAAGTACCGATATAGTAGAATGTACGGTTTTTCTATTAGGAATTCCTATTATGATTTGGGGAAGTATTCCCCATAACAGTACATAGGACCCTTTGGGCTTAAACCCGTACAGCAACCCTCACATGCTATGGAGAGCCAGCGAAAGGTTCGGGTCCTGGGAGCGGAAGCAGGATACGAAGTCGTTGCCGGCAAGATCTGTCGAGGAGCACCCACGCAGGAACCTTTGTTTGTTTTTTTGGGTGGCGGGATTGGGTTTGAGGGTCGACGGGTTCAGGGAGAATGGGTGGGTTTCAGGAGTTATTGTCGTTTAGGGCTCTTGGTGTTTGATGCTTTTGGGGGCGATTGGTTGCCGGTTTATGACTATGTAATCACGCTGCACCCTGAACCCTGCCGGCGTGTCTGAATAGGGATCCCGCAGGTAATTAGAGACCTTCGGATGGTCCATCTGTTTTTGGTTGAGGGCTTAGGCTCAGGGTAGACAGCTAGTGCCTATAAGCCATATCCCCGCATAAAACCCTGCGGATGGCGCAGGCCCTCGCTCAGTCCATTGCATCGCGGAACGCATCAAACATAGAGCAAGCAGAACAAAACTATGAACTTTATGCCGAAATGCGTCAACCCCACTTGCAACTATGCATCAGCCTTTATACCCGCATAGCTCCGTGTAGAAACTCCAGTTTAGAGGACAACTTTGCATGCGATCCTGAACCCGCCCTCCCCCCCAAAAAAACATTCCCTGCTTGAAAACACCCATGAACTTGCTATTGTTATTCGTGCTATCCTAACATTGTCACCATGACATTTTGTTAGTGCCACGATGATGATTACTATCACTAACTGCGCCTCCGTTGTAGTTCCTATTTGGTTAACCATGTTTATGGTTCGGATCCTACAACACAAAACTGGCTAACCAAAACCGGAGCTACAATGGAGACTTTTCTGCATGGCAATGGAATATCACCCTAAGGGTCAAAAGGAACCAATAATTAGGTACTAGGGTTTCGGATAGTAGGTAGTTATGTAGGTCAGTTTTGGAGAGTATATGACCGAAAGGATCCAAGCACCATTAAAGTCGGTACATGGTAGGTATTTGGGTGCCAGAAGTATATACTATACAATCACTTGGACCGATAGGGTGATAATTAGGTACTTGGACCTTTAGAGTAACATGTCAAGGAGCAAGGTCGACAAAGCAGCAGAGTCCTTGGTCTAGCCCGAAGATTCAACATCTAAGGCATGCCTGAAACTGCGCCAGTATGGAACCATGTATTCAAATAGGGATCCTTTAAGGATTCCTTTTAAGGGTTACTTTCAGGGTTCTATAAGGGTGTATAGGATTAAGGGTGGATTCTACCGTGTATTCGAGTCCACGTACCCAAGTGGTATATACTTTGGCCTTAAATAATGGGTACTTTGGAGGCGAAGTATATACTGTTTGGGTACATGGACCCTTGGGAATGTAGAGGGTCCTTCAACCAAAAGCAGGGGCCTGTTTGGTAGTTGACGTTCAGCTTTAGGGACTTACTTGGTTTTTGCACTGCGGCCCTGCTTTGCTTGCGGGTTAGCCTGTTTACCCTAAGGCTCCTGGACCCTTGTAGTGAGATCCTGGACCCTAGCCCCCAAAGCCGAAACCCTCCCCCAGAGAGCCCAAGACCCTCTTTGGAGCCTTAGGGTACAGCCCTACAGTCCAAAATTGCAACCCAACGGGTCGTCTCCGTCTGGCTGCCTAGGCCCCTAAACCCGGAGCCTGTTCTAGAGTCCTTCTAGTTTCAAGTTTCAATAGGTCCATGCTTGGGTTTAGGGTTTGGGGATTAAGGTTTCGGGCTTGGGGTTCGATGGTCGCTGTTCGTGGTCCCTCTCTTGTGGTAAGTAGCGCGTACTCCCAAAGATATTACAGCGCTTATGGTGTAGAGGCTCGGGCCGATACGGGGATTCTGGAAATAACCAGAGCTAACCAGCCGGCTCTGGAAACGTGCCCCGGATAGCAGCAGAATGGTATCGAACGTTTAGCCACAATCCTTTTAACCATGAAGCTGCCTAAACCCTACAAACCCCTGAACCCCAAAGCCCTTATAGAACCCTTATAGATCCCTCTAAAGGAAGCCTTATCGATCCCTGTAAAGGAACCCTTATGAACTTATGGATCCCTTTAAAAAAACCCTGAACCTCGGAGAATTCGACCACAAGCGCCTCGGTGAGTTGCAGCGAATCATCCAGCATGACCACAGCATCACAGAGCCCACCGAGGATTCGATAAAGGGCAGCGAGCCTAGGGTTTAGGGCTTAGGCTTTAGGCTTTAGGGTGGATAAGATTCAACATGTACATGCTTATTCCTTATTGGGCTTAAGCACCCATAAAAATGCAAAATGTTACCCAACTATGACAAAGGAGCTCCAGCTCGCTGTTCTTCAGACTCACACCTGCAACACGGAAACGATGCTGGCAGCGAGGGCGAGGACGACGAGAACCACCGCTACTGATGATGCTGCTGCCACTTCTACTACTGCCGCTGCCGCTGCCGCTGCCGCTGCCGCTGCCGCTGCCGCTGCCGCTGCCGCTGCTGCTGCTGCTGCTGCTGCTGCTGCTGCTGCGACTCCGACTGTGGCTACGACTGCGACAGCGACGACGGCATCGACGACAACGACGACCATAAGGACGACGACTACGAAACCACTCCGACCACCACCACAACAACAACAGCAACAACAACAACAACAGCACCAGCAGCAGCAGCAGCAACAACAACAACAACCACAACAACAACACCAACCACAACAACAGCAACAGCAACAGCAACCACAACAACAACACCAACCACAACAACAGCAACAGCAACAGCAACAGCAACAGCAACAGCAACAGCAACAGCAACAGCAACAGCAACAGCAACAGCAACAGCAACAGCAACAGCAACAGCAACAGCAACAGCAACAGCAGCAACAAAAACACAAGCAACTACTACTTCTACTTCTACTTCTACTTCTACTTCTACTTCTACTTCTACTTCTACTTCTACTTCTACTTCTACTTCTACTACTACTACTACTACTACTACTACTACTACTACTACTACTACTACTACTACTACTACTACTACTACTTCTACTACTACTTCTACTACTACTACTACTACTACTACTACTACTACTACTACTACTACTACTACTACTACTACTACTACTCCTCCGGTCACTATCATCAAGACCACGTTTACTCAGACTCTCATGCATATCCCAAAGGGTCCAAGTGTCACTATGGTATATACTTAGACCCCCCCCCCCAAAAAAAAAAATACGCTGTAAGTATATGCCATAATGATACTTGGACCCTTTGGGTATGCTTCACTAACGAAGTCGAGTGCCCCTTCTCTGTCTCACTGAGCTGCTATTTCGTCCAGCACAGCCCAGATGACGAAACTCAGAACTTGAGTGATAATACAAAAGTGATTCGGGTACAGGGTGTAATGTAGGGGCCTTAATAATTAGAATGGGGTTCTGGTGTCCATTGTACTATAATTATAGTAAGGGGCCCCAAAAAATAGTATTGGGCATTATTTGTGCTCAGACTGTCGGAAGTCCAGATATCGAAGCCTCTCTGCGCTCTGGCCCAGATTTGCGTGCGGATGGCGAAGGTGCCGGCAAGAACCTCGAAGTTGTTGAAAGTTTAGGGTCTAGGGTCAGGGATTTAGGGTATAGGTTTTTGCTTTGCTTTAGGGTATAGGGTTCAGGGTTAAGGGCTCCGGGCCGCCAGCAAACTGCCCTCACAAAACACAACCCTAAGCCCAACAACACAAAATCGTAAGAGCTGCAATCCATACAACCGGAACCTCATGGATCCTAACCGCGACATGCCCAACACCTCCGACACTAAACCCTCACTCTAAGCCCAAGCCCTGAGGGTCCATGTCTCTATAAATCTTGTACACTGACCTAGAGATCCAAAACAGGAACCCCTCCAACGCGAAAGCACCAATAAGTACAAGACAAGTACAGATGGGTGGTTGTCGAAATTATGATACATTTTTGGGTATCCTAAATCATAGACGCGGCAATACAATAACGACCCGAAAAGGGACCCTAATATTGACAACCACCCAGATGAAACCTTTAAGGTTGAACAGTTTAGCCCGGCGTCCAGGACTATCTGATAAAATGCTTCGCTGAAGATGGCCGCGCTCGCTCCCTGGCCCGGCGACTGAACCGGTTTGAGGCTGTAGGGCTCAGGGTTTAGGGTTCAGGGTCGAGGACTTTTCGGGTTTTTGAAGCGGGGTTATGGTGTGGAGCTCAGGGCTTTAGGGCTCATAATTATGGCCTGAAGCTTTATACAGGCTTCGGGTTCAGGGTCCATAATATGCGTTGGACGGGTTTAGGGCTGTAAAGTTTACCCAGATCTTGCCGGATCTGGTAATTCAGGAACTTGCCTCATTTTGCAATCGGACCCCTACTAGTTTATGTCTCCTAAATCCCGAAACCCTTGTACCCTAAACCCTGATAGAACCCTCAACCCCTAAACCCTTATAGAGAGCGTTCAGTTCACGGAACTCCAGGGTTCGAACCCTAAACCCTAAACCGGTATAACTATAACCATATTTAGGGTTTAGGGTTTAGGGTTTAGGGTTAATAGTATATTTCAGGGTCCCCTTTCCAATTACCCAAGGCCTGAATATTTCGCTTCCCTTCTACAGGTCAGTTCACGAGGCTTCTAGGATCAGTCTCTTCTATACCTCACTGTGGGTTTTCAGGTTCTGGAATTGTTGATCCGGTTGGCACTCCTTACCCCTAAACCCTAAGCCCTGAAATTTGAAGCCCAACAAAACCCTGAACCTCTTATTACTTATTACCCTTACCTCCTCTAAGCAGGAGTTCCTACATCCTTAAAGTCCGGGCCCCTGAAGGCCTGAAACCCCAAAAGCCCTAAACACAAACCCGAAGAACCTGCTGTCATGAAATGGCTCTTTGGGTGTAGATTCCAAGTTTCGGCTTTGGAGGCTCATGGGGATCGGGTCTTCAGGGGTAGGGGTCTTAAGTTTCAAGCTTAGAGGGTTGCCCCTAATCTTCAAGTTTTCGGGTTTACTGAGTTGTCCTTTAAGCCCTTTGAAAAATATCTACTATTATGGCTCTCTACAAAGTAGTAGGGGAAATGAAATCAGATCCGAAAGGACAACCCAGTTTAGGAGCTTTGAGGGGATGGGTTGGGATCTTGTGAGTTCTGGGATTTTGGGTGTCAAGTTCATGGGTGCAGGGTCGGGTCTTTGGGGTGGGGGCGGGGGCTTCTTTGGTCAGACTCCTCAGGTCGGAGGAGATCATGTTGTAGACTTACATGTATCAGAACCCCAATTAGGACTCTGAATCCTTGAGAAGCTTTGGGAGGGTGGGGGGACTGAGTACGTAGTTAATAAGTAGACTTGTAAATCCCCTAAGGGTCCAAGTAGTCCTTATTTTGGTTTTTGGCACCTACCCTCCCCCCAAAATCAAATAATATTCAGTATATACTTGGACCCTTAGGGCACTCAGCGGGTTCAGGGCTTCGGGGCACATGGGTTCAGGGCTGACGGGTTTAGAGTCCAAGCGTTTGCTGGTCTGGGGCCTCTGGGGTGCCCTGAGTTTAGGGTTTAGGGTTTAAGGGTTTAGGGGTTTAGGGGTTTAGGGTTTAGGGTTTAGGGGTTTAGGGTTTAGGGTTTAGGGGTTTAGGGTTTAGGGTTTTACTAGAGGCGCCTCAATAGTTAGAACAGGGTTCTGGCGCATATTATGCTATGATTATGCTGAGGAACCCCTAAAGTAGCGTTGGTAATCATTTAGGCCCTATATTACAGGGTTTATGTCGGAGTCCCAGCTGCGAGTAACCAAGCAATGAAGGGGAGTAAGGAACCTTAATATACACGGCTAAAACTCTGGAGGATTCTTATAACCTGCAATGAATAGTGACTGAAAGCTTCCCCGAACTATGTTACGAAATCCCCGCGCAAGTCTCCGCCTCCTCCCCATCCTCTGACGTCATGAAGGCCACATGCACCTTAAGACTGCAACCCTAAAACCCTAAACGACAAACTTAAACCCGAAAACACTAAACCCTATAAACCCGAAACCCTATAAACCCGAAACCCTAGAAGCCTAAAACCCAGACCCTAAACCCCCGAGAGCCGACACCTCTAAACCCTGAAACCCTACACCCCCAAGCCCTGAACCCCCTAAATTACTACTTGGAGGATCATGGGACTTAGTAAGTATGGCTATAAATACCTTAACTGGGGTTATAAGCAATTATAAGTATAGTTACCTTAATACTAATACTAGTTACTAAGTCCCATGATTGGCTTAAGGGTATTTAGGGCTAGGGTTTAGGGTTTACGGTTTGGGGTTTATAGGGTTTAGGGTTCAGGAATGGGGGGACTCTGTAGGGCTTCGGGTGCAGGGTTAGTGCCTCAGGAATGGACTTTGTAGGGTTTTGTGGATAGGTTTAACCCTAAACCCTAAACCCTAAACCCTAAACCGTGGCTTAAAGCTTAGTATGAAGCTGTGGGGTTGGGCTCACAACGTTTACGAAATTACGTCATCGCACACCTCTGCGACTCCCGGCAAGCACTTAGAGCCGTCGGGGTTGAGGCCTACACAGCTCAAGGAGTTTAATGGCTGAGTGTGTACACGCCCTGCACCCTATGTGTAGAATTTGGGAAACGCAGAGAGAACACCAATACTGGTTTCACAACATCAGCCACGCACCTTGCGAGACATGAATCGAGATAGCGTCCAGAGCAGGACGACTTGAAAAGGAGCATTCTGAGCCGAAGGCGGTTCAAAGGTTCAGGGTGTAAGGTTTATGTCAGGGAGTCATACCAAAGAGTACTAAAATGCTGGGTTCTTAACGGTCCAGATGGGTTGGGATCTTTATACTAGCATCTTGATACAGATAAGAAACGGAAACCAAGAAGTATGCACACCTGCAGTTAAGGCGCGTCCACACCTGTGCAAATGAGGTTGTAGAGAACAACGAACCCGTAATCCCTGCGGCGCGAGGGTATAAGGCTTCGGGCCTGAAAATTCGAAGTCTGATTGCATAATAAAAGTCCAAAGGGTCCTAGGTACTGTTATGGGGGATACTTCCCCAAATCATAATAACAACTCCTAACATAGAAACCTTACATTCTACCATATAGGTACTTAGAACCCTTTGCGATTGGTTTAGCCCGCCGCCCAGGTGTTGTGCCCCACTTTCTGAGGAGCCTCACGTGCTGCGTTTTGCGACGCATCCCTAGTTGTCCTTGACGCTGACATTCGCAGGGGCCACCGGTGTTTTCGGCAATGCTACTAACTTTGAGTCCCATTCACAAAGAACCTATGTCGGCACTGCTTATACGCTTATAACGTCCGTGATCCGGCATGTCCCACTGGGAGAGCATGCATGCCTGCACCACTGTTTTCAGGTACCACTGAGCTGCTCGGAGAAAGCATCCATGCTCGTACCCCTGATCATGTTCAAATGTCCCCCCCCTAGTGGGAGAGCATCCATGCCCGGGTAGTTTGGAGGGCCGTTACCTTGGCCGGCACTTTTCCCGCCAATACGATGTTCAGACTCATAGTTTCCAATTCCGGGCTTTTTTGAAATACTTGAAATCAAATTCACTGACGTCCGGCAGCCGTAAGGTCTAGTGCTGAGGGGCTTATAGCTTTTAGTGTTGAGGCTGTTCGGTTCAGACTTTAGCTGGACTCTAAGAACTTACTCTAGAGAACAACCAGGACACCTATGCAAAGAAGCAACACCAAAAACAGCACGTAGTGGGTGGCATGCTTGTTGGTGATGAACCGCACGACCTTTGTCAAGCATTATCATAACCTAGGGCTCCAGTTGCCTAAATAGTAAAATGATTGGGGTTTAGGGTTTAGGGTTTGGGGTATATACAATGTCCTCTTGACAGTGGCTTTTGATCATTTGCCTATGGAGGTCTCAGCAAAACGAAGTCGTGGTAACAGTCAGGGGGAACAGCGAGCGGAGTGGTGGATGAATTCGGGTGGGTCGAGGCCATAGTGTCTCGACAGCATGAACATGTAGAGGACATTCCGTGGCAAGTCAAAGCTCTCAAACACCGTCTTCCCATTATTCAACACCCAATCGGTCCCGAACAACTGAGTCATACCCAACACGAAGAAGCACCAAGAGCCCAGTAAACTGCACAGTAGGCTGTTGGGCTCTGTTTTCTCCAACATATATGAACTCACTGTGCACGCAATCATGCTCCTAGGGAGGTGTCGATTGAAGAAGTTGTGACCATACTGACGCTCAACTGCCAATCAGGGGGGGTCCTGAAAAGACTTGAGGTGTGTTTTGCCCCTCAACCCTACACCGTTTGTACCATGGCAGTGTTTGGTATGGCTTGGGCTTCGGGCTTCTAGCGCTTCGGGTTGGGTTATTCTACGGTCTGTAGCATTCACAGGGGGGAATGCTCACCATGCCAAAGACTGAACACTTAAATCTTCACGGACGAACCATCACGAACCCAAATCCCTAAACCCTAAACCCATATACTCCTAAAGCCCTGGCTATGTCCCCCTAGCTTATCCCCAACTGACCTACCTGATAAGGACTCATACAAGCAACTTCTAACAAGGATCCCTAAAAGCTCCTGTTGCAGTTTGGAGGGTGTTCAGGTAGCCCTTACACAATAAGCCAACAGTGGGCTCCTCGTGGTGATGCCGATAAGCAGTCTTGACGCCATAGTGCGCGAATAGTTGTTGCTGAGGGTCACTGTAAAGGCCATGAGAACCCCCGACCTTCTTGGCGAATTTAGGGTTAAGGGTATTGGCGTCTGGGGTTTGGTGTTTAGGGTTTTGGAGTTTGGGTTTAGGGTCACTTTAAGGGACTGGGGTCAACGGTGCATTCGTGGGGCTTCTATTGGGCCTTTTTCGGGATGAGGGCATCTTCAGGCACATGTATAAGGTGGTTTGGTGATTTCAACGTCTTGGTTGCTGAGTTCATCAGCCCCAACAAGTGTACACTTTCAGTTTTATAGTGGGTAATATCATCCAAAAAGTGCACAGTGTATCCACTCAGCTACTAAGACCTTTTTCAGGTAGGGCATACGTTTAAAGTGCTCACGTAAGCCCAAACCCTACACCCTAAACCCCAGGAGCCTTAGGTTCTCGTAGGTTTTCATAGTCCCAAAGGCCCTTCAGTTTCGGGCTGAAGGGGTCATGACCATGAACCATTCAGACCGTAGGAAACAGTCTGAGCACCCCAGTATGTTTATACTTCTAAGCTTAAACCCAAAACCCTAATAACCTAAACCCTATAGAGCCGTCCCCCAAAACCCTAAACCTTCAAAGCTTCAGTTTACCTAACGACTCCGTTGTACATCGTCGTTGCGCATAGCCAAATTTAAACCTAACCAAAAAAAACTTGGTTAATCAAAACAAGGAACCCATAGAATCGAGACTATCGGAACCTTGAAAGTAATCCTTGTAGCAAGCCTTACAGTAAACGAGAAACCCGACAGGCACCTCTAAAAGAAGTCTATCCGAAGTCTAGGCTATGACGCCTACAAGCAAGGACTCGTCGATCTGGATTCAAGCATCTAGTTTAGGGTTGAGGTTATATTCATTTCCAGGAACGAAAGCGAAAGCATACGCTGAACGCATACAAGTAGGGGCTTTAATCTCCTTAGTGTTTTCAACAGGCGGTGGCGGGGGATGCTACAGCATAACTCTCTCTCTATATATATATATATATATATACATATGCATATATGTACATCTGTGCATACGTATACAGCGACTGTTGTAAGTGAAAATTGACAGCCAGGTCGCAGTACATTCAACAGGCACGGCGAGGACAAGCACCCGAAGTTGAGATACAGCAACGTAAAACATAGCATCACCAAGGTAGGGGCATCTTCCACACGATGCCGCCCTGGAATTTGCTCCGGAGAAGCAAGCCATCGCAGCTGATACGAGAAGCAACGCAGGAGCAGAATACTAAAGATAACCATGATCATGTAGCGGAAAAAGTCCGACAGCGAGGCGTAGAACATTTTCCAAATCTTCTGCTCGGTCAGCGGGTCAGCCGACTTCGTCGCAATCAGACCACACTGCTCACACAGAGTTCTGCCAGATTCTTTAACAGCCTTGCTTCTCCATTTAATCACCACGAAGAAAGCCGAAAGAGCTCAACAAAAACCCAACTCCCCCAACGACGGCACTACTTCTCCCAAAACCTATAATTATGCTGTAAGCATCTGTAAGCCCTAGCCGTCATAAGCGCTTCACCCCTAAAACCATAAAGAAGACACTAAAAAGCACTTCCAGTGGGATCGAAGTGGCGGATCTGTACTTCACCACGCGAGGGAGGATTGTGAACGCCGCCACAGCTTCTACGAGGAAAATCCCGGCGACGAAAGCAGACTCTTCCATGTCCATGTCCAGGCTCATTGCAGTCAGGGTTTAGGATCTATATGGGGGTTTCCGAAAATGGGGGACCCCAATACAGGAACCCAAAATAGTAGGATCCTCAGTATAAGGACCCCAAAATATGGTACCCCTAATTTTCGGAAACTCCCATATGGTTCTTCATTGATAGAGCTTAGGGTTCTACAAAGCTTTCTTTAGGGTACTAAGACTTGTAGATAGTAGGGCTCAGGGCGCTCGGTGCCGATGAAATCAAAGTCTCCTTGGGTTCAGGGTTTAGGGGACCAGGGAGTCATGGGATGATTCCCTATAAAGCTTCCAAAGGACCTGTAGCTACGGCATTACAATGGGGACTCCACCCCCGAAACCGTGTCGTTTCTTCCTTAGGGTTTTGAGGGCTTGGGGCAGGTGTCTGGCACTCTGAAAGTATGGGGCTTCAAAGCAGAATGACTTCAACACCTACAAGGCAAAGCGGTGCATTAGCCATGTTCCATGGTCGTGGGTTGCCGCCTTGCCGGCACACACAGGGGATCGTGTTCTGCGGATGGTATCTATATAACCATCAGACTGGCTGGAGCAGGAAAGGAAGGGCAGTTGATGCATAATTTGAGTGAAACCCTTAATGCCTATGCTCAGGACTTAGTAAGGCCTATTTAAGGAAGTAGAGTCCCCTACCCCCCTCCCCCCTACCCCCCCTAAGGGTCACTATGACTAAACCCTAAGCCCCCAAGACTTTAAGCCGCAGACTGAAGCGTCGACTAGTGATCAAACAACGAAACTGAACCCTAAAATCCCGGTATTGAACCCTTGCATCCGAAAGTCCGAGAACCCCAAACCCCTAAGCCGTGGCCACTAAGCCCTCAACCGACACCTCCCGTCTCCGTGCTAATATGGAGCCTTAATACTTAGAGTATTGATATTATTCTGCTTTGAAGGGCTCCTTGATGGGGGCTTTGAAGGGTTTGACAAGGAGCTATAGGGCGTCATAGGCTGTTTTGGGGGCTTTCCCAGAGAACCCAATACCCCGTAATCAAGGAATAGACCTTAAATCATATTAGGGATCCTACTATAATTTAAGGTCTATTCCTTAAGTAAGGGGTATGGGGACCTCTGGGTTTTTCTCTACAAGCATCTGGGGGTTTATGACGCGTCAGGTCCGGCTCCCGCAAATAGGGTTAGGCCTTACGCGGTGAGGCTTCAGGGTTTTAGGGTTTACCGTTCTAAGGGTTCAGGGTTTGCGGCCTGAGGTGCAATATAGGGGCCTTCATGGTTAGAATAAGGCTTTGCGGCCCACTATGCTATAAATATAATAAGAAACCCCCAAAATTGTATAGGAAAATATTCAGGCCCCTTTCTAAGGGCCTCAGGTTTGGAGCTTGTGGTATACTCTAGTCCCGCAGGCAACCCGAACAGGGCATCTTACGCCATATTCATGATGATGCCCTCCGCCTCAAAGTCAGGAATTGGTCGCACAGCAATGATAACAACTATTATTGCAAACAGTCATAACAACAATAAGCCGTACTACGAACCAATCAGCCGCAAAACACATACAGTGAACCCCAGGAAGTTGGAGCATGGAGCAAGGATGATTCGTGCCAGGATCCCCTATGCTTTACCTCACAAGGGTATGAGGATGATGATGTTCCAACTTTCTGGCTTCTACTGTAACGACATTCCTGCATGAGCCGGGCTCTCCAAACCGGGAACCACCCAAATGCGGACCTCTCTGCGCGTGCATCGAACTCCTGTCATTTCGTGCTTCCAGAACTGGGCCCGATATCCGAAAACCCGAAAAGCCCTGAAAACCCCGTAAATCCTAAACCCTATGACGAAGAAGAACCCCCCCACTCCAAACGCCAAGAACCCCAAAACCAGGGCAGCACCTCAGGATTCGTGTTCGGGTCTCATGGATTTCACGGGCCAAAGCGACTCGGTCTTCGAAGATGTTTCCGTTCTGTGATTGGGTGTTGGGATAATGTTGGACCTCCGACACGAGTAGTGGTAGTAGTAGTCGTAGCAGCAGTAATGGTTGCTAGTAGTAGCAGAAGTAAGTAGTAGTATCGTAGCAGCAGCAGCCCAGCACCAACATCAAGAGCAGCGGTATCAGCGAGAGGCTTCATCATCGTTAGTATAACACTGCTACCTCCCTAAACCCTTAACCTTGAAATCGCTGAACTCGAAACAGACAAACTCCAAAGACCCGCAAAAAACACAGAGCTTTCGTCCGTCAGAGTTTCGAACACGGCAGACATCCACTACTTGAAGGTTTAGGGTTGTATTGTAGGTGCCTTAATAATTAGAATACGGTTTTGGGGGTATATTAAACAAAAGTTATAATACCAAACACCCACGATAGTAGTGGCAAGTATCCCAGGCCCCTATGGTACGGTTTAGGGTCAATGGCTTGAAATCGGGGCTTAGTTTAGGGTTTAGGGTTTAGGGTTTAGGCAGAAGTCCTCCATCTCTACCTGTGAGAAGTAGAACTGCGGGAAGTAAATCTCAATGGTGTGCTGGCCTCGGAATGGTGGAAGGTTTTCCCAAGGGTCCAAGTATCATTATGGTATAGACTTAGACCCTCAAAATACCGTCAAACCCTAAACCCGATACCATAGTGATACTTGGACGCTTTGGGTTTGGGGGTAGCAAAGTGATTTGGGAACCAGTCAGTCTATCCGTACAGATGCCTCCAACGATGCAGTCAAAGTCAGCAACTGGTATACAGGGAAGGGTCCATAACATGCAAATGAGTAGTATGTACGTATCTACATCTATATATATATATATATGTATATGTATCTACGTATATACATGTGTAACTGAAGACAATGCATGTATGTGTATATGTATGCGTGTCTGCATGTGTGTGTATATACATATATGTGTTGATGGCAGACATACACAATATACGTAGCTAAAGCGGATCGTCAGGCTGCGAGGTTCAAAACTCTAAACTCTGCAACTCTAAAAAACCGCGAAACTGCCAAGGCCTGGTAGCAGTGTTCAAGCTACTCCGACAAAACCCTGGCATGGTTGTAGCAAAAGATGGCTGCGAAGTCTGTCGACCCGAAATTGTTTACAGTCCCCCGTGAGGCCTCAGTACAAGCCGGAGAGTTGGAACATCATCATCCTCATGTCCCTATGGTGAAGTATAGGGGATCCCAGTACTAATGATCCTTAAATCTATGTTCCAACTTTCTGGGTACGCTATATTTTACGGTTTCGGGGTTGAGTCTTAAGGTGCTGAGTTCAGGATTTTCGCGTCAAGGTACATCGTTTAACTGCGGCTTATAGTGCAGGTTGAATGTATAGGGCTTCGTTTCAAGAACGCTTGACGGCTGATGCGTACCGTTTGGGCTGCAGCTAACTGCAAAGACATCTACTGGCGGATCCTGGGTTGTCAGGTAGGCTTATACCCTAAGCCCTATAGTTGAACCCTCAAACTTGAGACTCTTCAGCGCCAAACCCGCAAATTCATGCATCCCACGATAGTCACTCCGAGATCTAAGCTGTAGACACTACACTGCAGAAGCCCAAGCAGCCACATACAGTACACATGTACAACATCAACGTACATAGCTACAAACATACTCACGCACAAACATTTTTGCATATAGTCACATGCTTTTATATATATATATATATATATATATATATATATGTGTGTGTACATATACGTATACGCATTCAGTTATGTATGTGCTAATATACTGAGTTCTTCATGTATACATTTGGCTTGCTGGCTATACATTTATACATATATATATATATATATATATATATGTATATATACACATACATGCATATGTAAACATATACATGTATATGAGAGGCCTGTGTTCAACCGGAAGCCAACGTAAATGGTGCTCAAGGTAGACCTGGGGGCCCTGCCGGCATTCCGGCTCCGACGGCCCTGCGGGACCATCTCCTTCTTGGGGTTTGGGGGACCTGGGGATTGTTAGGGCTTACCCTAATGGTCCAGGTATCTCCTTAGGGGGGTCCAGAATCTCCTAGCAAGAGCCCTTGTGTCTCTTTGGGGTCTCAGAAATCCTACATTTTGAGGTTCCCTTGGGTGTGAGGACCCTTAGGGTAGGGTTCAGGGATTCTTGCCGTTTGGGGGACCTAGGGTTTAGGGATTCTGAGGGTTCAGGGTTTTAAGTTTTAGGGATTCTTCAAGTTTAAGGTTCAGGGGTTAGTAAGGGGTTCCTAGGTCGTAGCGTTTAGGGATTCTTGGGATTCAAGGGTGTAGGGATTCTTAGGGCTTGGGGTTTAAGGTTTACGAATTTGGGGCTTAGGGTTTAGAGAGAAGGATTCAAGGGCTTAAGGCTTAACGTGACTTTCATCTTCTAAGTTTAGGGACCCTACGGTTTAGGGATTCTGAAGGTTTACGGTTTAAGGTTTGCGGTTTAAGGTCTTTTTTTGTCGGGCCCTTTTGCAGACGTGGTTTAAGCTTTAGGGTTTAGGGTTCAGGGATTCTAAAGGTTTACCTGTAACCTACTTGTCGGGTATCATGGGGAACTACAGGTTAACCTTTCTGGTTATACAGGGAGTATATAGGGACTATGCTACCCAAGAAAGGTTAAAGGCTACCTACTCGACTACTAGGGTAACGGAAATACCTAGCTAAACGAGCTGGTCAAGGTCCTTGGAGCAGCTTTCCTTCTGGGTATCTTCGGGTTCAGAGGGCTTCGCGATCTGGCACTAGTAACAAAAACGGTGAAGGCAATTTCTCAGTCATGAAAATCACCGTTATGCGCAAAGTAATGACAATGAAATGTATGTAATGCTACACATCCCACAGGTTAGGGTACTTGCTGAAGGGCCGGATCTTGTTCATTACTCGAAGGAGATGGGAGGTTTCGAAAGGGTCTGGTTCAGGGTTTAGGGTTTAGGGTGAAGGGAACCGGATGGAGGCCATATGAGCCCGAAGGGTATGTGGTAACTGTAGTGCTCGACGACTATGTAGTGCAGATATAGTTCTAGTTCCAGTTGTAGGTATAGCTACAGCTAAATGGCAATCGGCC